GTGCGTGCGTGCGTGCGTGCGTGCGTGCGTGCGTGCGTGCGTGCGTGTGTGTGTGCGTGTGTGTGTGTGTGTGTGTGTGTGTGTGTGTGTGTGTGTGTGTGTGCGCGCGTGTGCGTGTGTGTATGCGTGCATGCGTGTCCGTGTGTTGTCGGTGTGGTGTTTGAATATATCCCTGTATGAAGTGTACGTATATATATTTAAATAAAAATTACAATAATGTGAACCAAACTGCAAAGCTTAATTTACAATTTAAATTGAGCATTCGGATGAAGCATAGCCTCCATAAATATCCTCATAGTAAAGATGCATACATATTTAATTATCGATGAAATGTGGTTCCGTTCGTTTTGTAATGTTCGTTTCGTGATTAGATGTTTTGCTGTTATTCCCACTCCACCGAATGTAAAGCCTCCCCTTGTTAGAGATATTATCTTTATTACAATAAATACAGAATATTTTTGGAATATACGGAGACGTACACACAGGTCAGTTGTTGGCGCTGTACTATTTTAGCTTTCTAATTTGTGATTTCAGCGCAAACGAGAGTTGATATTTAAAAGTGATATAAGGCCCATTTGCCTGATGAGCTGCCAGGGATGGACGGCCCTTATTTCGTCTCTATTTCTGATTATATACTCGACAATGAAATCTAATTTCTTAAATGAATTAATTTCAAAATCCAACGAATAATCACTTACTCACAATGCTTAACTTAAACGTACAATTTTCTGACGTCAACTTATTACAATAATACGTGTTCGAAAATTCACAGTTTCTTTACTATTTTGAAACTTAAATTAAATATACTTTCTAAAATGTATTCTATCCCCATAAAATTTATTACTATGTAGTAGTCTTATTATAGATGCAATATTGTGACGTACTTCCTTGTATTTGCTACCTCGTGCCCTTCTAAAGCGGCTAATGGAAGCAATTTTTATAATTACCCGTTCACGCAAATCAGCCTACAGAATATCAAGATTTCCTTGTCGCGTTGACAATGAAAATATAGTAGTATGATTATTGACGACTTGATACCATTGATACCTACTTAGTAAAACATCATTGTATTGTGACTTGCAATATACTTCTTGATTTTTCCCTTTTCGTTTTATGTTCTTTGCTTCGTTCTTAGCAATTTGTTTACATTCTACTCATGAACTCTGTGACGTAAGAGATTAAAGCACTTTTTTCATTCTTTATTTATAATAATCGTAACTTTTTTATAAAAAAAACTGACATCAAAAGTTCGTGGAATTACATCTATTTGCCAAGTTTTATTGCAACCGGTTACCGGAAAATGCGCGAAACCAGTTTGCCACCCTTAGAGATGGAATATTTTTTTCAAATTTAGATGGGACCAATATTGACCCTCTTTCCAACAAAAAAGAATCAGCAAAATCAGTTCCCCAATGGTGGAGTTATCGCGTAAAAAACATACAAAAAACAAAAAAAGACAATCGAATTGAGAATCTAATCCTTTTCTTAAAGTCGATTAAAAATGACAGTCAAGCATCAAGAACCAAACCTTGACAATCACACTGTGTTAATATCTATCTAAAAGTGCTGTATTTATACAGCAAATGTTTATTTTTGCTTTTCAACAAAACAAACATCTTTAAAGATCTACAAACCTACATGATCATTGAAAAATTACAAATAACGTCCAAGGACATTTTGTTATTATTTACATAATTGCGTCTTGGGATACTTCAATAGTTTTTCGTCATATATATGTTTACGAGGAAGAATATACTAGGTGTACCTACATACGAGGACGAACCTCAAAATGTATATTTATGTGCTTTCTACGAAAATACGAAGAATCACGTCAAGTTATGAATGACTTTAATACTACACACAGACTAGAATTCAAAACTTAATGGATAATGTTAAGTATTATTATAACAGATATTTAATATAAAAGTCAATTGATACCACTAAAGATACGTAATTAGTTACGTTACGTATACGTAGACGTAATTAGTTTCGTGACTTATCAGTTACCGCAATTTCGATATTACTCGAACGATCTTTGAGAGACGTGCAGATACGATTCTTGAAGATTATTATCATGCGAGTGTGTACAGTTGCTTTGCAGTTGCTTTGTGGTAAATCAGTTACAAAATAAAATATAAAGTTACAAAGTATCTTTGTATTATGCGAACTACATCCACTAGATTTTTTATGACTAGACTTCAGAATGATGTTTGTGCTCATGTGCTAAAGTAAAATTGTGAGTATGTTCAGCATTATCACCCTGTTGTATGATGAATAGATCATGATAGTCATGACTCTATTTGCTGTAGTAAAGTCAAAAGGAAAAAAGCATAAATATATGTACAACGCACGATTAGGATGATTATAGTCCTCAGATCGGATACTGATAATATATTCAATTGTTTTAATTACACCAAGTAACGAAACGACTAAGTCGTGTACCTGGGGGTAAGAGATACGCCTGTCCATAGCAGTTGCAGTGCCACTCAGAGCTTTAAATCGCAAAGATCTGCATGACACTGATACTGCGTCCTGTAAAGTTGCACGTGCATAAATATATTATAACATTATATTATAGCATAAATATATTATAAATATAGTATAACATTATTGTAATTGACAAGTATTTGTTGGAAAAATTAAACATAAACGCAAAATTTGTTAACACTTTTGTGCGCGACAGTATCGGACGTTAGCTGGAAGCGCTGATTGGTTGAGTGACAATTTCTATGGAACATTCTCGATGCGCCGACGCTTTGCCCTAGCAATCAAGTTAGCGGGAATTACTGGTTTTGTCACCCTGTTCGAAGATATAAGTTGACAAGTCCTATGTGCTTGTAATTTCACCAATACCCTTAACCTTCAAAACCGGAACGCATTAATGTTCACATTACTGTTTGGCGGCAGAATTGGTGATGTGGTAGTATTTCCCTAGTCTAAGTCTTTCACAAGGAGATCTACTGCTACTAGATATAAGTAATGAAAATGTGCTAGAGCGTCCCACATTATTCAGGGCGAATTGAGTAAACTGATGCAAAATGTATGTCCTATGATAATATTTTCACTTTGTTAACGGTTGTCTTACAATCAACATAGGGTGTAAATAGTTGCATCCTACTACTACTAACCTGGCGTGAATTTGACTCCAAACCAGACAGACATGGGCATGATGCCGTGGTGGATGACGTGCAGCTTCGATACATGGTCGAACTTCTTGCGCATAACGAAGAAGAACTGTAACAAACATTGAAGGTAAACTTTGTAAACTGACAGGCAATGAAACAAATTTGTTATAAGTATTGGTTGTAATATTTACTACTACGATATCCATTTATTTTTTGTGAAATTACTGTTTTTTTTATAATATCAAGTGACGGGACAAACAAGTCGTGCGCCTAATGGTAAGCTACACGCCTGTCTATGACAGTTGCTGCGCCGCTCAGAGCTTCAAATCGCAAAGATCTGAGGGGTACTGTCACTGCATTCGTCACCCTGAGACAAATGTTAACAAATCCCATGTGCCTGTAACTTCACCAGCACCCTTACCCTTAAAAACTGGAACACAGTAATGCGAACATTACTGCTTGGCGGTAGAAATAGGTAAGGTGGCAGTACTTCCCTGGACGAACTCTTTCACAAGGAGCTCTACTGGTTACAAAATAATATAATATAATAATATACACTGTAATTCGTTGTAATTATTATTAATAATAAATAATTTGTGTTCGATCTTTGTATGAAACTATTTTGTTTCGTTTGTAAATCGCGTACATTTGTTTTATTCAAACCAACCAACATTTCACTCGCTTTACGGGTTCCATGGTCACCGCTAACGCGTATCACACGCGATATTGGTCCGAAAAAAAATTGTTTCATTGCTTATGTGTAAACAATCGCGTAAACCTTATAACTCGATTTACTTATGACTCGATTTGAACCAATAATAGTAGTAATATATTAATTGCAAATACCAGAGTATTAATCGCAAATTTATTGCAATCACGAATTCACCAAACGAGTATGGCGAGACCGTAAATCTTGTTAATATCTACATTTTTGGAAAATACATGGACTAATTACAATTATAGTTATAATTAATTAAATGCCATTAACGAACGTATACGAGTGGACGTTATACGTCATTAACGCATTATCTACACTATACATGTCGCATTGTTAATACTATAGTGTATTAACACAAAAAGTGTATTTTTTCAGAATCGATAAAAAACGAATTATTACATCCCATGAATAATTTTTCTTATGACATCTAAACAATTTCCTACTTTCTAAATATATTTAAAATTAAAAGCGAAAAATAATTTCATATTTTTGCGTAAGGACGTTTGTCCAGAACTACCTCACAAAAAGTTTGTCTCGTTTTGAGTCTATTAATTGTTTCTTACAAAGTTCTAACGAGGGCTTTCGGGGCTTAACGAGAATGAAATTTTATGTTCTGAAATTTTACAATCTTGAATTTCACATATTTTAAGTTACAACACTATTGCAATAACAATGCGATATGATGTTCTTATGGACAGTTTTGATTGGCAAATTAGTGTCTATCCTAAATTGAATTAGGTCACCCTTTTTACGTTTCTACATATTCTCATGAAACGCATTTAAAAATATATGTGCTTTGTATTTAATTTGCGGTTGTTTTTAGGTATTTTTATGAGGTATGTCCATTTTTAAATTTTGTTAACGTCATGATCTCTTAAATGCGTATGTTACGTTCGTAATGTACTCCAATACAGAATTTGTTTACTAATTTATATTCATTTCTTTTTTTATTGGCCAATCATGTTCAAGCATTAACCCCCAATATAAGTATTAATGCTGGTCATGTGAATTTCTACAAATATTTAGTTTTAGAAATAGAATAGTTTAAAACTTAATTTAAAAAACAAGTTTTGGTTCACTTGATCAAATAATGCAAAGGTTATTTTAGTAATTAATTAATATTTGTTAATAATTTGTGCTTTACATACTCTTTTATTACCTCACCAAAAAAAAGCTGTGGTAGCCTAAAAAGGTTTAACTGCCTATCTAGCGGTAGCTGTGGATTCGATCCGGACACACCTCTGAATTTTAATTCGAAATTTATCATGAGCTATTCGGTGAAATAGAACTTCGTGATGAAACCTGCACGTCGAAGAAAGTTCACAGCCCTCGGAAAACGTGTGGCCAAGAAATGGGTATAGAAACTTGGAACGTTCTGTGGCGTGATGTGAGGACATTGTCAAAGTTGCGGGCAGTAAATGGGTGAGGTTAGCACAGGATCCTGGTGGATGGCAAAAACTATGGGAGGCCTATACCCAGCAGTGGGTGAAGTCAGACAGTGGATGATGATGATGAATTATGTGTGTCGATAGTGTCAATGGCATGAACGTTTGGTATTCTGCCAAAAGTTAAGAGTAGTGACATGCCTTTGTAATTTGTGACTTTTTTTTATAACATCAAGTGACGGGACGAACAAGTTGTGCACCTGATAGTAAACTACACGCTTGTCCATAACAGTTACTGTGCCACTCAGAGCTTCAAAATTGCAAAGATCTGAGGGGCACTACCACTGCGCTCGTCACCCTCAGACATAAGTTGACAAGTCCCATGTGCCTGTAATTTCACCAGCACCCTTACCCTTCAAAACCGGAACACAGGAATGCTGACACTACTGATTGGCGGCAGAAATAGGTAAGGTGGCAGTACTACTAAGTTTCGCTATTCTGCAATGACGACCAATCAATGGCATGTCGATAACGTAGTGTATTATGTATATTATTATATAAATTACTGTTTACCCCAGATACAAACTAAGATGTGCATGGTAATTTCCGTGGTATTTTTAGTAAGGCAACATCGATCTCTAGTAACTGAATGAATGAATATGCCAACACTGCCATTCCTCTGAGACTCAACGCTATTGAAACTAGATTTGAACAGAATAGCAAATATTATCATAATAATTGCAATATAATCTCAATGGAGTCTCAATGGGATTATAATGACTGTGGTCTAAAAAAATTTGGGGAATTGGGTCCCAGGGGTATAAGAAATCACACCAACCGGACTCTTGTTTAATTATATAGTATATATAAATAATTCTAATGCACCAACCGGACTCTTGTTTAATTATACAGTATATAAATACTTATAATTATTTATATCATAAGGTATAAATATAAAACATCGTTACATTCACATTAGCTTAACTCACCGTGTCAAAGAATTCCGTAAACTTCGAGAAGTAATACCACCAACATCCGTTCACAGTCTGTAAATAATAATAAAACACATTAATTCTCAATTAAATTTTATCTTTGAATAAGTAAATGACCTACTAACTCAAATTCGTTACTGTACCAAAACATCTGCCTGCATCTGCGTCGAATGAATTTATATATTTACGCATAGTATGTAGGAACAGTCGCCTACGACATGTTTGCAACTAGCGTAACGATCTTAGTGAATCTTTCCTATGAAAATCGATTTTTAATTTCGGTACGCGCATAGGAGTTAATTTTATTACTATATATTATACATGCAATACTCAATTTAGAGATTTAGGGTGCGTTTATTCGACACGAATTTCATCGCGCTCACCCCGCGTGGTCGCCAGTGGAGTCCACGTTACCGCGGCGCAGCGACCGCATGCGTCTAATTGTCATTTTCTTAGTGCTTTTTATCGCTCTATTTACTTAGCGTTTACGTTTTAACTTAAATAAGTGTCCCGGACACGCGGACGAGGCTGGCTTCAATTTGGTCTACGTGGCGGCGAGTAAATCAGAATAAAAATAGAATTCAGATTCGCCATTAATGTACATGAAGGCGTGGTAACTGGGCGGTCGCCACGTGGCGGCCGCTAAAATCCTTTCTCCTCGTGTAACTGGGCGCTTAGGGTGCACGAAAGTAGCCTCCTCGCATGACGAACCTGCCACTCCTTTCTTGTTCGTCTAGCGCACCGTGGGCGACCAATAGGCGAGTACCTTACGCCGATCGCCAAATCCTTCCACCACGAGGGCAGGCATTATAATGTATGCCACCGATAGGATAAGAAAAAGCATTTAGACACGATATTATAATTCTTAGATAACATTCTTAAAGTTCGTTTCCATATACAAACAAAAAAGCCTAGTTTTTAAAATTGGGCTTTATTTTGTAAATCTGTTTATAAATAATTATATCTTTTCTTAATTGCTATTTTTAGTGACAATATTCTGGGACAGTTAATTCTTTACAATTTAGTGTGATGTATTAATTAAATTTGCACATTAATTAGCACATATGTACGAAGTAAATTTTAAACATTCTTAATACTACAGGACTATTTTTAAACTGTTTGAAATTAACTGCCTGCCGACATAAAAGGAGACTATATTTATGTCCAAAGCAATTATTCAAAAGGTCGGCCTGTTTGAAATTTAGATTTTGTGCCCTGATTTGAATGTAAATAAAAGAACTTTATTTAGAATTAATCGTTCGTCCAGAAATAAATATTGTTACGCATTAAAAATTTATATTGTTGGCATGTCGAAGTAGACTATTTATTTATTTTGTATTCCATAATACGACAACAGTTGTTATATATTTGAAGTATACGATATTGACAAATAAAAGCAATAAAATTTAATTGTCTTTTTTCGTATATAACAATATACGTTAGAAAAAATATACGTTCGATGCATGTGTGAAATGAAAATTCCTGTTCTTGACTGTTTCTGATCATCGAAGTTTAATGGTTTTAATTAGACAATTATTATTATTTTTACGATTTCACAAAAATGATTTTATTAAATTTAGATTAATTAAGAACATGGATTTTATTTTATTTTCATTTTTACGTTTAAAGTTTTTTTTCAATTTTATTATTTATTTTTACAAGCATAATTAGGTAAAAAATAACATAAATTACATTTTACATATACAAATTACATTTAAATAAATATGCGTAGTGAGTAAAGAAAGAAGAATTAAAAAGGAACATACTTAGAAATAATATTCAAGGACTCCAAATAATAAATATCGGAGGGTGGAAGGATGGCAAAAATATGGTTAGGTACAATTTAGGACAAAAAATGTTCTAATTTTGAAAAATTAGTTTTTTAGTCAAATTAACTCGTTTTGGACATTATAGAAATAATTTTCTATTTACATTAGATACAATAATCAATTCCACTCGTTTGAAATCTACTTTAAAACTTTAAACATATGTATGTGTATTAGTAAATGAAAAATAATTTCATTTTCTATGATAAATCCTTTTATTGTAAGGTATTTTTATTCCAAAATAGACATTAAATTATATAGCTAAAATGAAAGCAGAATTTCAATTCTTTCAAAAATAGTTACCTACAAGCATTAGACAATCAGAATTCAGGAAAATGAAATGGCCATATTGGTTCTGACATCACAAGATTAATGCCATTCAAACTATGTATATACTAACGGTCGTTTTGATAAGCACTCCCATCTCAGACATTAATTATACTTTAACGTGTTATGTTAATTGAAATATTGAAAAACAATTTCAAATTTAATTTTCAGCATATTCAAGTTAATTGTAATTGTTTTTTTAAATAGTCGAATACCCTATTGCACGTTATTGGAGTGAAAATGTATTAGCGCTACACAATACTTCCAGCTAAGGTTTGTTTAAATAGAGCTCTTATCATTCCGTAGAAGGTGTCTAAGTATGATTACTATCCAAAAACATCTCATAATAAAAAAACTTCTTATTTAGTTAACAAACGTAGCTATAGATATTTTGCCATTATGGCGAATTCACCTATTGACAATAAACACGGAACTTTGCTTTGTGTACGTAGTGTTCTTATTGCAATTTACCTCCTTTACAACTCGTATTCAAACAAAAAATCTAGTAGGTATAGGTACTTTTTTTAATAGGGCTATAATTTCTTTGTAGCTCGTGGTAATTATTTTTTTTTTTATAATTTGTTTGTTCATACATACCCGCATGGCTTGGGGAGACCTCGAATAGTCGACGGGCTGGCATCGGAAACTGTACGTGGTAAACCAACCGCTCACTATGCTCTGTGAATATTATTGTACTTGTTAGAACAACAATACACGTAAGACAGCATGTAAATTTTAATATTAAAATAGTCAATATTGCTTTTGAAATCCATCAATAAATCACTCTCTAAGAATGGCTTCGCCATAAATATCACGTTAAAGTCAGTAGCTTTAGGCAAAATATAATAGTGCATTTATTTTGTTTAACTAATTAATATTACTCGGTTACGCATCTTTGAGACACACGGTATCCCTAACGATTTTGATATTTTAATTATTTTTATAGTTATTTCTTGATTTTTTATAAATGTAAAAAAAAATGGTGGATGAAAATACAGCAGTTCGTTAGATGCTAGTGTACCAAAATCTTTAGGGACACCGTGTGTCTCTAAGACGCGTGTCAGGTTAAATTACAAGCACATGAGACTTGTCAAGTTATATCTCAGGGTGACGGGCGCAGTGGCAGTGGCCCTCAGATCTTTGCGATTTAAAGTTCTCAGTGGCACTGTAATTGTTATGGACAGGCGTGTAGCTTACCATCAGGCGCACGACTTGTTCGTCCCGTCACTTGATATTATAAAAACAAAAGGTCAGTCAGGCTAATCAATCGTGGGTTTGCTAAATTAATTTGTTTATTTGTTGATACAAAAAGTAAGGCTTAAGGTTGCAATTTTAAACTTCGTTTAGTAATTAGTAGTTAGTTTATACTTAAACACACATACTCAACAGCAATATCGGACTAAAAATAATGAAGCTACCAACTAGGTACCTTTATCTAGCGACACAGGAAGATATTTCTTACCGTTTTCTAAACTTGTACCTTTAATATATGTGGTAGTCTCGACTGTGGCCAAGCGTTACAGAAAAATATATATCTTATTTCATCATCATCAATAATTGATTGTCTTATTAATATAATATCTTATTTACCTCATAAAATAACCAGCAACTGAAGATCACTTGGAATAAGTTGTACCATATCAACACTTGCTTCAACTCAAACGGTTTTCTGTTCTCCATAAGCTTCGGCCCTAATACCTGTGGACAAATATTATTTTTAAATAAGTTTAATTAAAAATGCCAATAAAAATCACAATACTCTAGGTATTGGGTTGACTAAAACGTCCGCGCGGTAAAAAACATTTTAAAAAATGAATTCCAAACTTTAATCAATCTCTTGATGTAACAATGCATATCCGCTATATAGCTTGCTTGTCGGTTTTCTATCGGATACATTTTGGGGAGTGTGCGCAGGAACATTTCAATTTAGTTCCACTCTCACCGTTCCTCCTTCGGTCGACTAGAAGGTCCGGAGCACTCCGTTCGTATGTCGTTGATATTCCACCTATTAGCACTAAGCACTTTGTTTCCTCCTTTCTGATGCGTACGGCAAAGGAATGGAATGCTCTACAGGCATGCTCTACGGGTATTTCCCGAAATGTACAATTTGGGGCTATTCAAGGCTAGAGTGAATACACTTCTTTTTTTAGGCAAACTCTCTTAACATCAGGTGAGATAGTGGCCAAGCGTGTGTCTATTATATATATAAAAAATTACAACTTTTCAGGAGAGAGGTTTCACGACCGAAATTAGTCGCTAACTTTTGGGCGCTGAAGAGTCCTACGAAAGCGGTAGTGGTCTCGGAAGCAATAGTGGGAGCACTGATAGTGTCCAGGAGTGCTACCGCATTTGAAAAAAAATCTGATTTATCTATATTGACTGCACTACAAATATACACATATATTTTTTGCGTTAAGTTAATCCAAAAAAATACGTCCTTTCAATTATTTTTTGGTGGTGGTGTTGAATTTTTGTATCTTGCCTAATGAGTTATAAAATTACATCTATTTTAATGTAACATGTGGTTTTATTACACCAAGGGCAATTTATATTGACTAAGTTAATACTACTATCTTTTGTAATCTTTCGGGTAATATTAAAATTGCCCTTTCCTAAAAATTCTTGTCTTTACTTATAAAATACAGCTCTAATAACAATCTCTTCTGTATCAATGTCGTGTCCATTCAAAAATGTTGTAAAGACCGAAACATGTGAAACTCGGAAGGGCTACGTCAGGCGAATAAGGTGTGTGACGTAACACATCTCAACCTAATTGCAATAGTTTTTGACGGTTTTGTAAAAATATATGCGGTTTGGTAGATATTATCATGATGAAATTACACCTTTACGATTTACCTGTGCAGGGCGTTTTTCATGAATTATAAACCTAAAAATTCCTTATTCTTAAAATGCGCGCTAAAGTTTTGAAATGACTGTACACAATATAACATTTATAAGAAAATACTTCTTTTTGTTTAAAGTCAGCTAGTGGTAAAACCGCACCGCAAACCATCTTTTTCGCCAACCCAGAAGTCGTTAATTATGTGACGATGACAAAGCGTCATAGCCGTGACATAATTGAAAGGCTCCAATTTAATACTGCATACATACAACTTTTATAATACCTATCGCATATAATATTGGTGAAGTCACATTTGGTTTATACACTAAAAAATTATTTGGCTTCTCAGCAAATTGTTGTGACATAACAATACAACTGAGTAAACTTGAACTTGCAAAGTTTACATACAACGGCTGACGATTCTGATTTTACCCAAACTAATATTATAAATCCGAAAGTAATTTTGCTTGTTACAATTTTGATAAATTTTGATATAGAAATAGATGGTACATAGAAGATAGATATGCTAATTTTTACCACAAAAATAAGCTAAAGGAGGTGAAATAGGGGATGAAAGTTTATATGGAGATACAAGAAGAAGAAGACAATAAAACTATGAAAATACAGTAGACTATTCAAAGTTTCGAACTACTTATTCAACGCAGACAACGTCGCGGACACAATTAGTACCTAAGTAATTGAAATGTGGCATTATCGAAATAATATAAAAATACGGTAAAGTGATTTGGAAGATGATTCAGTAACTTCAAACAAACACTCAGTTGTTACTTGCTACATAGACATATTATATATATTATATATTGACCCACGGTTACATATCAGTAGTCCGACATGACATTTTCCAGAAATAACGTTTGGTCGAAATTTCATAACCTCGAAAGTAATTTTGAGAACGTTTGTTCGAAATTTCATAACCTCGAAAGTAATTTAGAGAAGAAAATGTTTTTTATTTTAAACCTAACTTAACCGAACCTAGCCGAACCTAATCGCGTCTTTGCAATAAACATTCAACATATCCTGAAAGAATAACTGTTTCGTTATAATTCGGTTTTCGGTGTAATGAAAATTCGAATAAATGTTATTTCGGACGAAAAAATTTTCGAGTTTGTGATAGGTTACCATCGACTCACGCACATAACAATTTGGCTACGTTTTTTTCTAACCGGACAATTTTCGTATTACATTTTTTATTAGAATAATGGTAGTTGGAGAAAATTTTTTTAGATTGTTCCAAATGGCAAGCAAAATTTATGGAATACTGAACAAAACACTTCAATACAAAAGAAATGATAATACTTACTTTGACGATAAACACGTAAGTGAGACATATAGCCAAAGTAGGAAAAGGCGAAGACATGAGGAACCAGTCTTTGACTCTTTGGTCGCTTTTGTTGTCCATTAGGTCATGGTACCCCTCCACAAGCCTGTTTAGAACCTCCATTGTCACTGCAACAAGAAATTAGAGACGTTAATAGGTACATAAACCATAGAAATACATACATAACTTATACATACATACTGAATACGTAATATTGATGCGTCATGTACATAAGTAAAGATATGGGCGTAGGTTCTTTTACAGATAAGTACGCATAAATTAAATTTAAATTGGTCCGAAGTAATTTCATATTTTGGACTCTAAATTAAAATGAGAGTGCTTAGTGAGCCTGATCTTTTTGTTTATTAGCCATTAGCTATCATGCTGTGTTCCACTGCTGAGCAAATGCCTCTTCTCTCGAGTTCCATAGTTTCCTGTTTGACGCAATGTCCCATCCATCATCCCACCATCTCCTTGGTCTACCTTATTTTGCATATTATAAAAAATATAATGAAAAAGAAAACGAAGATATGAAATAAGAAAATGAAATCTAAATCTAAATAATGTAGCTTTTACACATAGTTTAATATTACGAAAAGCAATATTGAGGAACAACTCAATAAACACTTGTGGAATTTATATCCAGCAAATGTGACCAAATTTACGAATGTCAGGGTAGACAAGTACCGACGCTACAATCAGGTACTCGTCACAACGCCGTAAAGCAAAGTTGACATTAACATGAGTTTGGGTGTATTTTGTGGTATTTTATATATCCATGGCACATTTATATGTCCATGGCACCCGCCACACAGGGTTTTCCTAGAGCGGGGCTAAAAAAACATAACAAATACATGTAACTAATCGACTGTTGTTGTATTTTACAAGTCAATAATGCAGATAACCCGTCACTAATATAAATATTTCCGCCATACCTTTTATACCTGTCGTCAATAGTCAATATTTACCAAACTGTCGAGCAAAGCGTTGTATTTATTTACCCGCTACAAACATATTAGTCTTGGCAATTTAAATTCTACAGTCGTAAGAGGGAACTCGCAGTATGCTCTAATATTATTTGTCAACTGTCATTTGCTTCAGTAGCATACTTCCAAGCCACTGCAAGTTTTATTACAAACTTGCAGAAATCGGATTTCTATTTTAGTATCCATCCATCCATCTTAATTTTTAGTAACTGAAAATGAGTGCGTTTTTCAGCAAATACCGAGTTAGTGAACCTTTAGTTACCGCGGCTGGCATCACATGCAGTATTTTTATACTTAATACCTATGCTTATGTAAACAATTTTATGTTGTAATCAATTTGTTGCGTTTAGTTTTTGTTTTGTTTGCGACTTTGTTTTATAATATTGTTTTGTTTCCGAAGTGAACATTTATGATTGTTTAATTATTGTTTTTAATTTTTTTTATTTTGATTCTGTTTTGTTTCGTTTTTCATAGTCAAATAAATGTATTTATTTTCTCTATTTTCTTAGTTAAACACTCTACTAATAACTTTTAATATATGATGTTTAGTTTTTAGTACTTAATTTTATTTTAAAAACAAATTCTCGGAACTTTTCATAAATTTTAAATATATAAGCCTGTTGTAAGTCAATGCCTGTAGAAGTTAATTTGTTAGTGGTCTACGCAGGGCTATTTTTTTCGATCGCGAACTTATCGAGCTTGTGTACTACAGATGTTAGAATGGTAAACCTTAAAATCAAATTTGAGAAGAGTCTCGGAAGTCATATGAAGTTGACAAACTTTGAATATGTATCGTAACAATTGTGATGAGGGTTCATTGCGCACGTAATTCAAATATAAGTATATACAGGGTGGAAAAATGGAAAAGGGAAAAGAAAAATAAAAAAAATTCATTTCGTTTCCTTTAAGTAAAATTAGCAATATTAAGCATTTAAGGTACCTCAACCAGTAGGTAGTACCTCTTCATCCCCCATTGATTTTTTCCACCCTGTATGGTTTAATGTGTAGATACAGCAAAGATGGTGTTTATTAAATAGCTAGAAGATCTAAAAACCCTGCGCATGTAGCTACGTAGCTGCACTTCAAGGTTAATTGCGTATACGTGGTCATAATACCAACATAGAATACATTATAATTTAAAATAACACAATATTATAAAAAAATATACGCGTGAAACATTTTTTGTTGGTCTACAATAAAGTGGCATTTGTGGTCGCTGTTTTAATATTTAGTATATTTTTATTAAAATTTTATTACAAGATTGGTACTTAAGATATACCTACGTAACTTATTACTAAATTATTTGATCGAATCTTATGAATTATGATAATTAACAAATATTATGATTAAATATTTACACGTGTCGAACTATTGTGTAAGCGATAACAGCATTCAGAAACTAATAACGTGGACTGAAGGTAAGTACGGAGTTATAATTAGCTTGTTAACATTGAAAAAAAATTGACGTGGAATAGATGCTAGCGCGGACGTCCGGCTTATTTAGCATTCTTACGCTTTAAACAAAGAGTTGAAAATTAAAATCATTTCAATAAATCGATCTTTATTTTTTCTGTATCGGGTATAAAGACCAATATTTAGTAATATAACGAAAAATATTAAAGTATGTTTAAATAGTATTTAATGAATAAGAAATAAAGTAAACCGACCAGTCGAGCTACATCGTAAATAAATAATAATGGCAAAATCACAGTTAAGAATTCGTTAGCGTCTTCAAATATCGTAATTACAAGTTTGAATAAAATAAATTCATTAGGTTTTTCAAATTATAACAGCGGCCTATCTAAGCCTGGAAATAAAATCATATTTAAAAGAAACTCTAATGACTAATTAACATGTAACTGGACTGATATGTACAACGTACAACTATCAGTTTCTTAGTTTTTTTTTAACGTTGAGCGACATGTAGCCGCCAAAAAAGGAATTTCAGTACCTACATATGGATACGATCCACATTTAGTTCACGTAATATCAAATGTACTGATTTGACCGATTTGCAATTAGCTAATAATAGATTAATTACTTCATTACAAAAAATGAAGTCGTTAATTTTGTCTCCAAAATGCCACGCGAGAAAATGGTAAAACTGGCAAAAAGGTTCCCGAAATCAGAGATAGATGGCACGTTTCACAAAAAATAATTTGTGTCCGAGTTACCAGTGCAATAGTCTGTGGTATGTTATGAATTAACTCAGTTTTTTATGAATTAACTTCATGCCTTTTAACCATACCAGTATACAAAATAATTTCCTCTGAACTTTCTGTAGTTTGTAAACTATAGTTTACTTTGATGTAATAATATAATAAATATATTTTATTCCATTACGTCATTTCAAACTGGAATATCTTCCTGACTTCTCTTAATAGTAAATCCAAAACAAAATTTGTTCAGGTTCAACACAATATTTTCACATATTTTTCGTAAACAGACGCATACAAATTATATCAACAAAAAATTATATGGAAGTTTGCCATTGTCCTTTGTGCAAGCCAAGTCACACGCGTCAAGATACATCTGCATCAATGGTGAGACAGGAAATTGGTATGGTGTAAACTGTTTCAAAGCGACGATAAAAAAATAAAAAATAAAATTGGTCCAATGTACCTAGATACCCCTTTACAAACTGCGGACTATAACACATTTTAAAATTTTGCATATTAAGCAACAGCGAAGTTTCGCCATGAACCTTTAAGTCACAAGGAAATACCTCGAATAGTAACAAAATAATACTCACACGACCGGAACTACAAATTCGCATTCAAAAAAATTTCAATACCAACCAGTTTTCTAAATTTGTAACTTGTAGATGGTATCTTAAGTCCTTTACCTTTGTAATTATTTCTGAAGAATAAAATAACAAAGTATGACTATAGCGAAGGTCGTAAACAGCGCGTTTAGACCGGTTACCATGAGTAGCAGTAAAGTAGAAATTTTAGTAGCAGTATACTAATATCTCTATACTATATACCTATTTCTGTTGCCAATGAGTGTCATGTCTTTAGCAGAGCCTTGAAAATGCAATATCATGAAGACCAACTTAATCAGTACGTAGAAATAGAAACGCATATTTTCCGTACAGGTGACATCCAAGGCATGTGAAATACCAATTTACTTCTGAACCATTTCTTACAGTTTGTATTTAGTAGAAGTAGAGCTCCTTGTGAAAGATTTCATCCAAGGAAGTACTGCAACCTTTCCTATTTCTGCCGCCAAGCAGTAGGTAATGTGAGCATTACTATGGTGCGGTTTACATGGGACTTGTCAATTTAATGTCACAGAGTGACGGGCATAGTGGCGGCCCCCCTCAGATCTTTGCGATTTAAAGCTTATGTCGTTGATATACCACCCATTCGCACTAAGCGCTTTGCTTCCCCCTTTCTGATGTGTACGGCAAAGGAATGGAATACTGTTTCCCGAGAAATACAATTTGTGGCTATTCAAGACTAGAGTGAACAGGCATTTTTTAGACAAACGCGTACCATCGTCTGTCACATCGTCGCTTAACATCAGGTGAGATTGTGGCCAAGGGTGGGACTATTATTTAAAAAAAAGCTCTGATTGACACTGCAACACACACAACACACTGACAGGCGGACGACTTGTTCGTCTCATCACTTGATGCCATAAAAAAATAGTGTCGGGACGATGGCAATCGTCTTCATTTAAACGCATGTGTCCATGTGAGTGTTTGAGTTCTCCTTAGTAGATCAGCCTACAGTGCTCATTATATAAATCATAATTATGGTTTTGCCAGGTATTTTAGCTAACTTAGACGCTGAATTAGCAAAGGCCTATGACTGGTGTTTGCCGACACGTTTGTTTCGTTCCCATTATATGCATCAAGATCATTGAACTTGCAAGTTCATGATAGTTTTCGAATGTTTACTAACGGTCAACTTGGTAAATTAATTTTATAAACCCACCTGTTACCATAATAGGCTGCGATAGTTGACTGTTGAATATAGGACTTATTGATTTTTGTTTTTATTTCACGATGTTTTTTTTACCTTATTTTATTAATTTATTTTTTGTGAAATAACTACACTAGTTTGTTATTATTGTTAATACAAAGATCGAATAAAAAGAAAAATTCCTTCGACCCTACAGGACTTGAACCTGTTCCA